AAGACTTAGAGAAATTTGATGAAAATTGTGAAAAGTTTAAAGAAAATTTTTGAGAACATTATTTTAAAGGAAGAAGTTGTGAAATACTTAAATAAATTTAGGAATTGTGAAAAGAAATCGCGAAAGTTTAAACAAGATTAAGGAAGTTTTGATAAAAATTGTATCGTAAATATCAAGAAAGTGAATTTTTAAAAGGAAATCTAATTTTGCAATTAATTGTGAGACAGTTAGAGAATTTCTGGAATTTTGAAAATAAATTTGGAAGTTTTAATGCAATCAAAATAATTTTGATATTGGATATATCGCAGTGAATTTTAAGAACAAATTTAGGTACGCATATCAAAGCGTTTAAGTTTTAATATTTTTATATTTTTTCCCCCTCAAAAAAAATAAAAAAATTTAAATAATAATAATAAAATAAAATAATAATAACAATAATAATAATAAACGTAACAAAAGCTTCGAAAGAGAAGACACATTTGAAACCTAAAATTTTATTAGCAAAGCCTATGAGGAAAGAAAAGCTCGCAATTTTTAAGTAAATATAAAAGAAATTATATAATTTTAGTTAAAGGAAACAAAAGAGGACATCGTCTGGAAGTTAAAATAAAATAGTAGAAACAAAAGACAAGTAATTGTGATTGTCAAATATTAAAACGAAATTTTTTATTGCAATAAATTCCCAACAAATCTTTAGGACTCAAGGAAATTGACTGACGATTCACAAAAAAGGTTTTGTATTGAGGCAGGAACTTATCGGTTTTAAAGAATTTGACGAATCTATAGAAATATATCCAGTATAAAACAAAATCCAGAAAGAAAATGCCAGGAACCACAGAAGAACTAGTCGAACAACTAAATCAACTTAGGATTGACTACGCATCCGGCCACCCAGAAAATCCTCCAACCACTAATCCATCAATGATGGAATCGATTATTAGAGAAGTATCTCAGGTAGTAATGGACAGAATGACTACACCTCATTTAGCCGACCTTAACGAACCTGACCATAACGTGACTCTGACCATGCAGAATATTAATGAGCTAGACAAAGTTCTAAATATGGTTAAATGTCTGAGGGAATTTTCTGGACGACCTGGAGAATTTAAAAAGTGTTGACAGAATATTTAAGGCATATGAAGGACTGAAAAATACACCTAAATATTTCGCCATTCTACATACAGTAAGCCATAAAATAGTCGGTGATGCCGACACGGCCCTAGAGTCATATATTACTCCACTCGATTGGGTACAAATTAGGAAGTGCCTTATGATGCACTACTCTGATAAACAGGACATTGGCACCCTAGAATACCAAATGACCACTCTGGCTAAACGCCGCGACGACATCCCCACATTCTACCAGAAGGTTTACCAACACCTTTCATTAATCCTGGATAAAATTTCTTGCCTCGATCTAGGCGAGGAGTCAATTAGGACGATGACGAATTCCTACAGGGAAAAAGCACTAGACACTTTTGTTCGTGGATTAAACGGAGACCTACCAATCGTCTCCTTACCATTCGTGAGCCAACAACCTTACCTCAAGCTTTGCATTTGTGCCAAAAGTTAGACAACATGTCTTTCCGAATGAACCATGCACATAATGTGCACAAATCAATCAATCAAAATTATATTCAACCACCATCTCGACCTCCCCGTCAGAACACAACATTTAATAACAACATACCTTTTTATCTTGAGCTTACTTATTCTTATTCACCTAGGCAAAACTCCGGCCAACAAACATTTGGCCGCCAACCTAACCGTTATCCCCAATACCCGTATGCCCCACCCGCGTACCGAGCTCAGCAAACCGCTGTTCCACGTAACAACTATAATTACACACAAAATTATCAGGGATTCTCATCAGGGTTTAACAACCATGCAAATAACACCCAAAATCCGCCAGTATATAGAAATCATTTAAATACTTCTTTCAATAACAGACCGAATTTGCCTCCAAAGCCGCCGGTTCCTATGGAGGTGGACAATTCACTACATTCAAGACAAGTTAATTACCAAAATAGACCTAGTGCTAATCAGAACAATCCACCACAGAAACGTCCGCTCTCCACACAGCCAATATACCCTCCAAATAAAGTGCAAAAAAACTTGTATACCGACATGGGATCAACAAATTCAAGTGATTATCAAGTAGAGTCAGACCCGAACGGAATTTATGGCGACACTTCTTACTATAGTAATTATAATACAGGGAAACAAGCGAATCCACTTTTCGCAGGAAATGTTAATTATATAAACAGTGAACAAGACCATGCTGAACCTGATACTATCCATTTTTTAGATTAGCTCCGTCTTCGCTGCCTTATTACCTTTTAACAAAAAGCGGAGACACAATAGATTTTTTAATTGATACTGGATCTAATAAAAATTATATCCAGTAAACTAGGATTAGGAACCCTTTACGGTAAAATCAGTACCAACCCTAAAGTCATTCCACGGTATAGTAGGTAATGACACCCTGAAGCAATTAAAAGCAATCATCCATACGGATAAAAATTTAATGACGATTTGTCAAAATGTAACTATCCCGCTAAAGCAACGGATATCACACGAAGTTAATAATGCCGGAATCAATATTCCACACCTTTCTCCGAAACAACAAAATAAATAAACAACATTATTAGCAAATGCCCAAACCTCTTTGCCGATCCTGACGAAAAACTCACATACACTACTCTTGTAAAAGGTGAGATCCGGACATCCACCGAAACCCCTGTCTACTCTAAACCATACCCATATCCAATGGCTCTAATAGAGGAGATCGAACGCCAGGTCATAGAACTTTTCGCTAATTGAATAATAAGAAGATCGAAATCTCCCTATAACTCCCCAGTCTGGATCGTTAACAAAAAAGTGGATGCTTCTGGTGAAAGGAAGTATCGAATGGTTATCGACTACCGCAAGCTTAATTCCGTTACAATTCACGATAAGTACCCTATATCCGAGATTAACGAGGTTCTTGCAAATCTCGGAAATAATAAATTATTTACTGTTATTGACCTAAGGAGTGGTTTTCACCAGATACCACTTCGCGAATCCGACATAGAAAAGACAGCATTTTCCGTAAACAACGGAAAATATGAATTTCTCCGTTTGCCTTTCGGGCTTAAGAATGCTCCCTCCACATTTCAAAAGGCACTAGATGACATTCTTCGTCAACACATCGGAACTAGATGCTATGTTTACATCGACGATGTAATAATATTCGGCAAGAATGAAGAGGATCACCTAAAAAATATCGAATTGGTATTCAAATCTTTGGAAGAGGCTAACATGAATATCCAGCTGGATAAATGCGAATTTTTAAAAGAGGAAGTCGGAATCCTGTGGTACAATATTACTCCTGAAGGTATAAAAACCAACCCCAAGAAAGTAGAGGACGTAGCGCAATTTCCAGTGCCAAAAAATTTGAAGGAATTAAGATCATTTTTAGGTATGTCATCATACTACTGTCACAGACAGGGACGAGTTAGTTGTTGAACGACCGCTCAGGCGAGCACACGTATTCTTC